TCTCACTTTTTCTTCGCGGAGAACACTCGCCTCCTCTATAAAATAAACTAGAAATATATCGATTAAGGTTATAAAACTAGCTGCCTTCCGTTGTTAGCAATAAAGTCTATAAAGTATTCGATCATAAAAAAACATAAAGAAATGTATTTGGTAACTAAAAATATTGGAAAAAAATTTTAGTTTGTATTACGCCTTTTAGAAAAAGCGTATGTACGATGTATTATAAAATTTATTTTCTGATAGTAAACTCTGATAAATTCCTTTTTTCAATCATATAAACATGGCCAAGTGTTACATTCATTAACAGTATAAAAAAAACAATAATAATAAAAAGGAAGTACGTTTTATAACCATTCGGCATCATTATTTTTATTACTTTCTCGTTCTATGTCAATGCCATTTTCTATCGCAACGTCGGCTTGAGCCGCGTATGGTGAAGGATTTTATAAACAGTATGTAAAGATTGGAAGCGAAAAGAATAAAAAAAAGGAAAGGAACATTTATGTGCTTCAAAGGTAACAAAAATTTTTTAAGTATGGAAACTAAAGAAAATAAAGTTGAATAAGAAAAAAAACACAATGGATACAAGAAATCGACTACATATCATTTGGCAGAATGAAACACAATCAATTTCAGACGACTATACTAAATCTAAGTTCAATCATTTAATACATAAATATTGCAAACAATATTGATGACATTATACTATCACACGATAAGCATAAATGCATTGATGAAATACATGATATCAGCCAACAACAAAATAAAACGACTAAAATATTGCTTATTATTTTGACTTATTTATCCCTAGAAGATACTGTGAATTCAGCATTTCTACAATTGATAGAAGCTTTAATTGAAGTTAATTCTATTTATTTATTCTGTTTTAATACAACAGCAAATTTGATAAAATTTCCAGAACGTACAAAAATACGTTGTTATCATACAAGCTTAGAGCTGCCGCTCGCAACGCTACCGAAGAATCAGCATCAATAACAAATCACACAATGGATCAGCAGCTAGAGCGACAGTGAGAACATCATTTGACATCCGAAGATTTTATTTTTAACTCATTATTCCGCTTAAATATCAGTGCATCATCGTCATTGTCAGTTGCTCGCGAAGACGCAAAACACCAGGAAGCTGACTTTATGTATGCAGAAATTTTAAGAGCTAGCTTGACTCAAATTGGTTCAATCGAAAATGAAATACTAGACTATTGTTGTCAAAAGTCTGCAGACAATGAGCGACAGTTAGTATATATCGAAGAATTCAAAGATTATTATGATCCGCACAATGCTACTTTCTGGTATACACATGATACATTTCTCTATTGTCTTTTAAATATTGCACTCAGAGAGCAACATATTGATACACTCTATGCATTAAGATACTTTATTAAACATTTATATGAAGAGCTAATGAAATTGCATCGCTTGTCAGTCAGTGATAGAGAAAACACAACAGTTTCAAATATGAAAAACCGTATATCGAGGACAATTAATTAACAATGATGAATTCGAACGAAAAATCCATTTTAATATTGATGGATTCT